AATGGCGGCTGAATAATCAAAGGAATAAGCATTAGATTAGAGATTCGTGTCATTCGTAAAATCTCCTAAAGCTCTTTGTTTCGGTCAATTTGAAATGTGGACAACACCTCTGCCTTGAAGCATAATATTAGGTCGGGTAGAAAACATTAATTTTTTCTTTCAATTGAAGAATTTATTTTTAGAATTTAGGTCATGCTACCTCTACTAAGAAGCTTAATATTTTCAATATGCCTTTTTCTTAATCATAGTGAGCGATCTTTCAAATCGATATCAGTATCAGAAAAGTAATCTAGGGAGTCATAATCCGGCAGTCATTTTTCCATTTATTACATATATCTAAAAAATGATGATGATATCTATCACTTTATGAAGTTTACACAAAAGAAAAAGCTAAGGTTTATTCATCTCTATTATCTGAAAATCCTAAATTTGGCGACTTTAGTTTATGTGACAACTAGATCGATTTTCTAAAGAATCAAACTCCCAAAAAAAGGAGAAGATGGGAAAGACCTAATACACTCTCATGAAGCTTTACCTCTCTCATGCAACTAACGACTTGATTAGAAGATTGAAGATTAACAGCAATTCTTGTGCAGAAGGCAAAGTCACTCGAATCAAAAGTAAAGGTAGAACGAATCGTGGTAAATATGAGTAAGTTGTAAATAGATCTCCTAAGACTTGTAAATAATAAAACTTATATGATCTTAAAAACCACACTTCAGTGATACTTAATCTGAACTTAATCTGAACTTAGTCTGAAATGTCGACTAAAAACGTAAAAATCACAAAAGGCAATTTTACGTTACAATATTTTCCATAGATATCGCGAATTTTTGTTAATTGCCTGTTCGCCAATGCAGGTCTACAATGTCGCTTACTAAACCACAAATGTATGCTATCCTAAATGAGTAATTTTGACAGTTTGTTGCTTGACTTCCGAGAAGATTTTTGATGTAATATCATAGATTCGTATATGTATATAAAGCAAACTTCAGCGATAGCGCAAACACAATACAAAGCAAGCTTTCCACTTCGCAATATAACGAATTGAAATCAGATTTTTATTGTCATTTGAATTGTTGCGTGATTTAGAGAAAATGTTCATCGGCTGAATTTAGTCCAACTTCAATGGCTGTTAAAGGAACTGACAGGTCAGAATTTGTGCACAATGTATTTGGTATGTTGATGACGTCAACAATTATGGCACATATCTGAAAATAGGCTCGATTGGTAGGTAGCTCCTGAGGAACCAGATACTAGGAGAGACTGCACAATAATTATCTATAAGAAAATTTTATCATCACAAACTGAAAAGATCTATGGGAATAGAAATAGGAGAAGCTGCTTTTCTAGCTTAAGCTGGACATGATTGCGAATGTAGTGAGAGGGAAGCATGTCAGCAAACTAAGTGGGGCGCCCAATCATGCGAAGAAACTATCAAGATCCAATTATCCAGCCATTTCGATCTTACTAATTTACGTCCTCTCTCCCGTAATGTTAGGAAGAACATTAGCAATTTCTTTGGGGACTTCTGAGTTGAAAAGTAAAACACAACTAAAGCAATTCATACGCAAGCTTATGAAAATAAGAAGAGCACGGCTTTCTCATCTTTTTGTTGTGACACACGAAATTATAATTCTGGCGTAGCAAAGTTCTCTAATCCCATGCATTTGCTGTATATTAGTATATACAACAATGTTAATTAATCTTGTAGTATGTATGTATATGTAGCAATAAGCTTTGGAAACGAAAACTTTACTTTATTTATGCATTTAGCTAATGTTTATATTTTACTTGACAGCTGACGAAATATAAATGTAAATTCATTACGTATGCTTTATTACTGTTTACTCTGCGTTCTACTTCCCTTACTTCTTACTTCAATGTTCAACTGCAACGAATGGCTAAAAGTATGCGGTATACGTTTACCCTTAAAATGCTCATTAATGGTAATTAGTATATGTGTCACTCTAACCTATACATATTAACATTTTATTTGAAAAACATATCTACGACAACAACTCTTGCGGGCATAACAAACTGAAAACACAAATTGCACTCTAACTAAACTAAATTATCCAAAACTCTTAAGCAGATAAAAACAGCAGACATATATTACGTCTAAATTATTCGTATCAAAACACAATGAAATTAATTTAAGTATTCACATAAAAAAAAAAAAAATAAAAAAAAAAATTACCGAACATTGCACACTACACGGAGATAATCCAGATATAAAGATAAACAACCAACAGCTAATAAAACAAAAAAAAAAAAAAAAAAATCTTCAAAGCAGTTTAATCTTTCAAATAAACAAATTTTTTGTTGTTTTTTTCAAATTTGAATTTATTTCAAATTTATTGAAAATTTAATACACAGACTGTGTTGTGTTCATACAATTGTTTTGAAATAAAAATGCTATAATGCCAGAAACCGGACGTTCATAGCAAACATATATATTGATCGCATATATATATATGTATAAAATCGCATACATCGGCACTTATCTACATATGCATAAACATTTATCATATTTTCATTTTCATATGTATGACTTTCGTGCGGTCATTTCATATAAATTCGGAAATTTTTCTTTTCGCTAAACAATTATGGTAATGGGAACGTGTGGTTTAAAATACCAGTTAGTTCATAAGTTGAATTATTTGGTTTTGTTATACACGAGCCTGCTGTTTGGTAAATATTGACCAACACGAAAAAAAAAACGAAAAAATAATATAATTTTGAAAAACCAAAATTAAATTAATGGTATAGCGATTCCCTCCAATGCTAACAACCTAACATCGTCACAAACTATCGAATCTATCCAATTATTGTTAACAGTTTTTAAATAACCTAAGGCAAAATTTATGCGATGTAAAAACAAAAAAAGTGCGCCTTCATTTTATGTAACAATATATTCTTTAGTGTCACAACGGGTATTAGGTTTCTCCTTAGTATTTAGTTGTAATCGTGACAAACAACAATTTGCAATTCTTTTAATCTTTTTCTAAATTTATGATTGTATTCGCAAGAGCATCACTGGGTCGTCGCAAAAGGAAACATGTTCTTTCTGACACACCTCAAAAACTGTGACAAGAAAACACTTAGCTTTTCCTTTGTGATCAGTGCCCGGTTACAATACTAAAATATGACTATTAATGTCAATGTATATTAGTGTAATACTCTGGAAGGACTATCAGAAATGAATCCGAACAATCAATCTGTGAAAATTGAGGCAACAAATATCAGCTGTTTCAGCATTCTGCAGCATTCATTAAAGACTTGAAATATTTCAAAGCTTTAAGAATGCGAATCAACGAACAATGGTGTAGGCATTACGCAGCTATGCTTAACACATCTTCCTTTTTTATGCATAAACTTGCAATATATAACTTTGATAAGAGAAATAGCAAGTAATGCTCTGTATGAAAACAAAAAATGAATGAAACAAGTGCCCAAATGATTGACTAAGGGACGAAACGAAAGACGAGTTGATGGTATTTAGTCGGACGTCAGTCAACGACTGAGATAACTTTGTTACCAAATTTACTAACTGGCGTGTAGTTTCAGGTCCGTTTACGAACCATCACCAGATCCAGAATTTACTTTCCGAAGTCAAGCGCAACCAAATGAGTTTCAAAATGTATTATGCCTACTGTCTTCTTACTATAAACTGTCTTAGATCAGGCAAAACTCCTCTATGAACCCTTTTATTGCTATCAATTGACTATTTGGCGATTGTTGTTTCTTTGAAATCTTATCAGGTTAGTCAAAAATATATACACTTCAAGCTAATCATAGATAGATTATATAAAACCTTAGCAATCCTGATTGAGGCTGACCGAACTTACGAGGACGTACCAAAGTTACGAGATCAACTTGTCTAGCAAAGTTAACAACCTTTCCAGCGATCAGGAAAAGTTCAGAGCGACTAGAAAATCTCACTGCGGTTTGCCACTAGCAAGAAGTAAGTATTATTTACATTATGAAATTCAAAAAAGTTCGACTTTTCAATAACAGCAGCTAGCAAAGCTCTGAAAACATACTAATACACGCATACATGTGTCATGCCTTTTCTGTTAGTTGACAACTCAAATGTAGATATAAGTAAGTGCACATTTGTACATACAAATTACTTATTAGTAGTCTTTATTAAGGAAATGTCAATAAGACATTTCTAAATTATTATTTAACAAGTAAATTTACTTTACAGAAATATATTCATGAAAACAGATGTTTTGCTTCTTCTAGTGTAAAAGTCCATTATTAATAATGAAAACAAGCAATGCAAAGGCGTAATAATAAGTTTTTGCATGCAATGGTAATTAAGAATGATTCTATGCGACACTTAATTTGTTCTTTCATGCCATTGCGATGACGATTTTGCAAATTGACGCACTAAAGCACAATGCATTCTACATTTAATTCAAGATATTATAAAAATATTCCTCTATTTAATATGTGCATATACTAATCGAGCAAAGTAAATCAAAAAAAGAAAAAATTTGATATCTGAATATACATGGCACCTAAGGTTAATGTATGCTTACTTTTTAAACTATGCCTTGATACCGTGCACAAAAAACGAAAACTCGTACTAAAACTACCTCAAGAAATGGTCTTAAAAACATGTCGTCTAGTCATCGAGAAAGTCGTCTTTGGAAAAAAAAAAAACTGAAAAGCAACAATTTGCGATAATTTCCGAATAAACTAATTCAACGGAGGTGAGGTCAGTCTTATGAGTTTCACGGTACCAAAAACTATTAAAATAGTGTAAGCGACTTAATCGTTTTAAGATTCATCTTCAAGATGTCCGTAACTTTAAAATAAGTGATGGTAACAAAATGACAACATTAGTGCATTTCTACCACGTTTCCAGGCCAAGGATAAAAGTCAATAACTAATTAAAATGTAATGAGTTCTTCACTATACTGATATTGCCTTTAAGCAAACATCTTCTGTTTCTTATGTGTAATAAAAAGGAATATTTTTTCACTTACCCAGTCAACATTCATTACTGCTAAATATAACTTTTACTATTACATAAAATAGTTTATAATGACATGAATAAAGGTAATGTTGAAATGATATGTGACTGCATCAGCCACGACCACTTCAATACAAACAGCTCGCGACGATAGCTCATTATAAGCTTCAGCAATTTTGAATGGTAAAGAATCGTAAACAAATGCATGCCATCATCATCCACACCATCATCGTCAACTTTACTAATCGTTAGTTTATATGAACGGAAATTAAGCATCTCTGGACTAAAAATTTAAAGCCAAAACGAAATGCTTCTCATTAACAAAAGAGTTGCTCTTTTATGATGTGCACTAACTTTATATAGTTTGAAATGAATTAAAAGAAAAAAACACAAAACGGTTCGTTTTTTCTTTAACTTTTTAGTTAAAAGTTGTCAAAACACTTTTTATATGCATTTAAATCAATTGAAATATTTAGCAAAAGTTATATGCATACACATGCTTTAATAGGCATATATTTTGTATTGCCTTCATTGTTTAAGAGACTCTTGAAAGAAGTGCCACTTTAGATCGACTATATAAATTACTTGCACTATTTAGTTATATTTGTACATTTTGTTTTTTCTTTTTAATTTCATTTTAATTCATTTTACATTTTTACTTGGTTGTCACTGCTATTATGATTTAATGCATTACTTTTTTTTTTTTTTTTTTATTAATTTTGTAACATTTAAGGTTTGATTTTTTCAATGACAAACGGGAAATGACCAACACTTCCTCTTCAAATCGCTTATTTCCGTTATAATTTAAAAACGAATTTGCATATTTATGGAACAACGCAAACTACAATACATTTACATATACATAATGTATAAGCATACACCGTCATATATTAATTATAAAATAATACATATGCATAGCAGTGAAGATAAAGAGAAAAAGCCTCTATATGCAAATATACAAATTTTAAAACGTTTTTCATAATTTAAACCGCTTTACAATTGTATTTGTGAACGCGCGCTCGTTAGAAACTTGACTGGAATCTTTCACTGACAACACAACGTTACTAAACTTACAGTTTCGTTTTCACATTCTACGAATACGAAAAACGCACTACGAATTTTCAATTTATTTATTTTTTTTTATAATTCGATGTTTACAGCAGTGAATAAACAGAGCATTAAGAGAAGAAAGACATTCTCTTACATTATATTACGTTATATTCACTCTCCCTATAATAATAATATACTAAGACGTATGAGTTATATACTTGCACTTGACTAACAAAACATACGTACCATTGTTATCATTCACTGTGTCAATAGGTTTTTGTGCTTTTATGCGATGACCCCCTAATATAAAAATATTCTCTTCCTTTAATTTTCTGCATGCACATCATACACTTTCAATTAATTACTCTCTTCTTAAATTTCAGCCTTACTTTCTCTTTCGAATTTTGTGATTTTTAATAAGAAGTCTGCACTTTTTGTATTCAGCTACTGTTAATAACATTTATCGCATGCTTTCTTTTATTTCAAAAAGCTATAGATGTTCATAGTCCTAATGGAATTTTCTATCATTCTGTTAATTCACCGAAAGGCAAGTATTTGTAACAGACACTTTCATGATATGAGAGGTTTATAACATCCAAAGCCAAGTATTTGTAATAGATATTTTCATAATAACATCCTTCTCTCCTTTTATGTGTAATGCATTTATGCTAAATGCAAAAGTTCATAGAATTTGCTTATATGAAAAAACTCTATCATATATCGGTTCGGAAAAAGTTGATCGGAATTTATTGAATTTTTTTTTTTTCGTATCTAAGCCAATTTTAATAAAAGACGAAATTAAAACTTGTTTATTAACACTTGGCTGATATTACAGAGACAGCTTAAGGCTTGTTGGATACACAAAAGGAAGAAGGAAAGATGTGGAAATGTTTATTATAAAAATTTATCCGGAAAGAAATAATAGCAGACTAAGAATCGTTACAGTTATATCGATCTTGAATTATTCCTTAATTAGGTGATGACTGGATTTTATATCAGATGTCTTGTAAATTTTGTTATTTCATATTACATTGCTAAAGAAGATCTGGCAAGTAAATATATTCATCAAGTCAGGACCGAAAAAGCGAGAGTCTACGCTAAAAGCGATATCTGCCTTGAATATTTTCACGAAACGTGGTCCTAGCTATGCTAAATATGTATATGGAATATATAAGAGGACTTTTCTGGACTTTTCTTAACTTTAGAGCTGCCTTGAAGCAAAATTACGTCTTATCTTAGTTCAATTTGTCTCCTGATTCTAATTTAGAAAGTTGGATATATGGTTTAACATTTATCCGCAAAGTTTTACAAATTCCTTATGAGAGTAAACTCGATGACGCAGTTACGCTGAACAGAAATTACCAACGTGAGCTTAATGTAGAAATTAAGTTGAGGAGAAGAAAAATTAGTTTTTCACTTAATTAAATCACATCAGATAAGGTGGTAATAGTAAAAAGTTGTGGCGATGACTATGAATGAAAATTGAAAATGAAAAGGAAACATAATATGTACATTTACATGCACGTTTATTCATGCATAGAAATCAACAAACCAATATTAAATATGCACAACTAGTAACATTTTGCATTTAAATATGCCTATGCAGTGATTCAATAAATCGATGGAAAATTCAATTAGTGGAGAGGATATTTTATAGAATGGAATGTGTTTATTTATAGCAAACATTGTATGAAAAGTTATTTTTCACAGTCAATAACCCAATAATCGGAAAGTTTTATGATTGATTACAGGCAAGTTATTTGTCTAATAGAGACCATTTTTGCAGCTGTTTTTTATTTGGTTTTATATAATGACTTTTAACGAATTGGTGAGTGGGTACGGAAATGACCAGGGAGGGAGGGAGGGAGAGAGAGAGAGAAGAGAAGCCATCACTAACTTATATGCTAAGCATCAACTGACTTCGTAACGTAAAGTTGTTATATCGATAGTCCCATTCTAAGAAATTATACCGAGCTCACGAAATCCGAATTTCGACACTATCGAGGAACCTAAGGCTGCTTTTAAGTCTCCCTTTTAAAGGAGCGCACAAAAATTTCTAGTAAATTTAAGGCAGAAGTACATCAACTGTGCACAAATAAGAATAGAAAAAAGTCACTGATATTACTATATCCAATATTACTCACGTCAACTATCAGACAAAAACTGCAAATATTTCTGACTTTTTGTTTTGTCCTCTAGAGTACTTATGCCTTTAAAATTTCAACACTGATTTATTTTACTTGAATATTTTCTTTTCTTAACGATTTCTCTTAAATTCATTTTTTCCATTTCTGTTTCGAAATCCATTAAATTTTAAAACGCAGACAGTATTTTTCCGGTTTGGCTTGATGCGAAATAATTCTCTTTAGTTCGTAAGCGTTCATTCATTAAGCGATTGTTTTGCTTTTCAAAAGAAAGCAAATATTTTTATATATATACCACAAGCAAAAAGTTTACGTTTATCTTTGCACAGCAACGGGGAATAAAGAAATTTTTTGTTTACGTTGAGAATAAGCTTTAATAAGTGAAAAAGAGAGAGGGTTAGAGTATATTGTGAACGATAATACATTCATCTGTCTGCCGGTTAGTCCGTTCATGTGTCCAAATATTACTCTTGTATGTCTCTACGTCTTTACGTCTCTGCTTTCGGAAAGCCGTTTGTCTATCTGCTCGTCTATCCCTCTGGTTGCGCTTGTAGCTAGCGGTACTAGTACGATTAAATGATTGAATACCCATTTCAAACCTTTTCTCTCCTTTCATCCTTATCAGACCACAACATGGACATCAAAACAGTATCTAATAAATTTTACCTATTGTAACCTGGTGAATACATTTCGGTACCCATTTGTCTTTTTATATATTGTTACATAGAAAAGACAATCGTTGTTGCAGATGAATAAGCTTTCAGTGTTTGCTTCACAAAAATATACGAAACTATTTTCTTCACAAATTTAGAAATCACAAGAGATTCGACAATATATATATGTCTACAGGCGCAGTAATTGTTTAAATTGATTAGTCAAACCATGTAACCTTTCAGTTTACATCTCTCGACCTTAGATAATGTTTATTTAAGCTAATGAAATTTATCACCTAAATTAATTAGCATTTCAGTGTAGTAGGTCGTAGGCTGTAAAGAGTATGAAATTCTTATTGGTTTGCGGTTATTTAAAAGGCTATTAAAAAGTTACCTACTAACTACTTAGTAATGCAAGAATATATATATATATGTCCCTAGTAATATTGCAGATCATTTTCGAAATATCGAAATCCCCTGACGGACGGGTCTTCTTCATTTCCGAATTTTTTTATATTCAATTTTGGCATCCGTGTAATAAAAAAAAAAAAAAATTCAATTTATCTAACTATGCATGCATTTTAGCATTTCCTTCATGTTCTCTCGGCACATTGTATGGAAAAAATTATATATTGAACTGTTTTCGAACTAACATCATTTCCATTTTTTATGGGACTCTAGAGTCAACGACAACAATATAACTTGTACACGCGTATATACATTTACTTTTTTTAAACATGTTTTTGTGTAAACACACGTGTGTTTGTTTATCTGTCTATTTATGTGTGAAAGTTTTTTTGTAGCTTTTATTTTTGTTGTTGTTACACAGCCAGATATTTTGCCGGCGTCATTTTGTGTGAATTGCACATCAATCAAGTGCAAGGTCCTCGACTACTGTGAGCATAAATAAATACTCGGTGCATTTATAAATGGATATGTGCAAACAGTTAGAAAAAAGTGAACTAAAACAGCAAAATCCGCTTATTTTAGTTCTATATATATTTATATATTTTTTTTTTTTTTTTTTTTTTTTTTTTGAGACGATTCTGTAAATTTGTTTTCATATTTAAACCTTCACGACATATGTTTCATTTTATTTGTTAAACAAAAAAAAAAAAAAACAACAACAAAAAAAGAGTGAAAATACATTTATTTTATTTATGGCTCATTTATTTATTTCCTAATTCTCCGGTCATTTTCGCTTGGTTTTTTCCTGATTTTTGTTGATTAATGCTTCTCCCGTACATGCCTCAATGTATATGCAAATGATCATACGCGCACAAACCATGTATTTGAATATCTGCGGTTGCACCGGTACTTGTCATTTTTGGTTTTCACAACAATAGTTATTGTAATTTATCGTACTTGTAGGATAGTATCAATATGAATACATTCATATAATGTTATTTAACATATAAATGCCTGCACACATATTAAAATGTCCAGCAAGTACTGCTTAGTTTAGTAACAGAAATATGTCTTCGCACAGTTTGCCTCGAATGTGGGAGTTAGTTGAGCTTGAATTGAGTAAATGAAATGATTTGTAGACCGCATTTATTATGTTACGTAAAATATGTTGAAACGAATGATAACCACAAGGCCTTTGGTGCCTTTGATAAAATAACTTGATCAACTGAGCGAGATTTTAATAAGGATACTTTCGTACAACAAAGGTGCTTAGGCTAAAAATTTCGAAAACTTATCTTACTTTCCATTTTGTTGACATTTACTTACTAAGGCGGCTACATTTTTTCGCTAACAGAAACTATGTATAGGAGCGCAAAGCCCTTTCTTCATTTCTAATGGCAGAAGGAAGAGTGGAGGAAAGGTTCACTTTGTATACTTTTTTTTTTACCTCCGTTTACGTATTTTGTACTTATTATGAATTTTCTCAAAAACTTAAGCCCTCGTTGTCTTCTTTCACATATTTCAGTTTCATTCTTTCATCGGCTCGCTGATATTTTGCAACAATTTTCGATTTTATTGCATAAAAGTTAGGAGAAAGGAGAGAAGAAAATTTCCTCGCTTAGACTGTTACTAGACTGCAGTAACATTACATTTTTTTTTGGTATACTCCAACCTATATTCTATCCACCTATACCAGCCACCATATAATTTACTTATAAAAATTACGCTTCACCGGGAGTAATTCGCATGCGTAAACGGGAAGAATAACATAATGAAGAAACGCTTAATTTGTAAAATAATTCACTATTATATACTACGCTATATACGCAAAATTTCATATCACAAGCCATGGAAATGATTTACCAAGAAAGAAGCTTTCAACTTCCGCTAGCGGATATGCATACGAAAATTAATCGCTTTTTCATGATTCATTTACATAAGCAGTGCAATATGCTGAAAACGCAAATAATTAAAATTGTAATATCTGATGTAAAGGTCATTTAATAATCCATAAAATTACAGTTAATATTACACAACTCATTTCCCATAATGAAGATATTTTCAACTTTTACGGTTGATTTTATTTCCGTTTATCAGAAGTCAAAGACAAAGAAAACAATAAAGACTAGCGGGAGTATCCAGCACTAAGTTTGAACAGAATATTGCCTTCTTATATGTATTAAAATGTGTGTATAACATTTATACGGCGCAATTAAACGAATTTAATTTAATCTCGAATTTAATCATTGCTGATATAAAATTTTATTGAAGCGCGTATACTGTTATTTTCCGATTACTACGTTAAGCGGTTAACGTGCATCAATTAGCTTTATACCAATAGTTTTCTATTTGAGGCTTAAAATACCAAAGATATATATATTTGCTCGGAACAAGGCTATATAGAAGGAAGCTAATCCAGTATTTCAATAAATCTCTACTTTTTTTTTTTTTTTTTAAGAAAAGTGCGACCTAGAAGAATACGGCCAAAGGTGGACTAAACAAAAATTACTTTTTTGCAGAAGCTACCATTAAAAAATTATTGAAAAATTTCTTTTAAATATCGCAGCAAAATTAAACTCACGTGTTCTCTGTCAAACTGAATTTGTTTAAAATAATCAACGATAACCCACTTGATTTAATAGCTGTGAACCAATTTCATTGACTTTGTAAATGTAAATTAAACAATTTTCTCAATCTTCACTTTACTAATTTTGAATTTTCAGACGCCTGAGTACCTTAATATATAACCAGTGTAATATGTATGGTTAAGTCTTAACCCCAATCGTTCAGTTTGTAATAATCTCTTGTAATATTCAACAAGTGAATATTTTATCAAGTAATTATAAATATAAAACTTTTTAACTTGCTTTAATAGCGATAATTTCGCAAAAGAGAGTTTTTTTTTTTTTTACGCATCCAGATGACCTTAAACACAATGAGGTTTGAATGCTTTTTTAAGCTTGGGGGATTAAATTCATTCATTATTTTCAATATATTCAAGATTAACAAGAGCAAGCTTAAAAAAGCAATGAACCCTCATTGTATATAAACGCTATCAAATAAACATCGCATGCAATAAATCTGTAAAGATACTGATAAGTTTCCCACTTACTAGCTATTAAAACAAAAGGAGATCATTCTTATATTATACTTATAAATAAATTATGGAGTAAACTAGACTGTAAACTTTTACGTAAATCAATTTTCTTCCTCTACTTGCTTCGAAATCTTTCTCCTTTCCTTGCTTGCAAATGAATCGTTACTACGAAATTAGAATCTAATAGCTTAACTGTTGATTTATAACTTATCTAGCCTACTAAGAGTTATCTTTACAAAGTATTTATCTTCATTGAAAAGCATTTCCATACAAAAGTACCCCAGTATAGTCCCGTTGAGTTTGATATACTACAAGCCGTGGTTGTCATTTTCAAATATCTTGTAAGAATAATATTTTTTAATACTTGAAAGTATTTTTTCGGATATTAGAAAAATAAGTATATATATATATATATAGTCGAAAAATGACTTGTGTTAACTGTTAGTCGTTAATTCTTATAAAATCTGGTGCCACCATATTTATAACATACTAAAATGTAGTGTTAATACTACGAAAGAAAAGACAAAGAATGCAAAGACCTACATCCTTATGGTATAAGAGCAAAGTCTTAAAGAGAATGTATGTGCCTGGAATTTAATAGAACGACTTGGGTACCTTTAAACTCTCCAAGTCTCTATAATCGACTAATATGCTTTCTGAAGACAATGCCTTCAGCATTGTTGGCAACATGTTCCGGCGCCTTTGGAATCTTAGAAAATAATTTCTTCTTTGGACACTTGAAATTTGAAATTGCACTGAAAGTTAATAACTCCATTTATAGACGCTTATCTACTCATGTATGAATCCCTAAAGAATTACCTTTATTCACTTGAATTTTCCACTAAACGTTTTAAAAGGAAAAATTACTATCCATAGTAAACAAAGTCGAATGGAAGTTCATTTGGTGAAGATGACTTAATAAAATAGCAGCACGTTTGTATTGAATTGTGTCGGAAAATTGAAAAGCAAATGCCAACCATCGAAACAAATCGAAATTGAGGAAACATTTTCAATCTTCTATTTACAGATATTTTATTAAGAAAGCATTTCGAATTACGTGTAACAAACAAACATTTGTATCTTTCTGTGCTTCTATATTAAACATAGCACATCCTATGCAAACACAAATAATGAATGCTTGTTATAGTAAATAGAAATCTAAAACAAACTAAACCGCCCTAATTATATGTTATATGCACGATACCACACTAAGGTAAGCTAATTTATTCTACTAATGCATAATTTCTGGAAGGAAAATATATGTAAAAGAAAAAATTCTTCAAAAAGGTGACAAATTTATATTAAACTTAGGGATTTTTATTAACCATGTTCCTGCCCTAATGAACGCTTGCCTATAAATGTTTGTATCATATTTTACACTGACATTAACCTTAATCTTGCCAAGCAGTGACTTTGAGTCATTTTTTAACTTTGAATATTCGATTTTTTTAATTATTTTATACTTTTACATTTCCAAAATTTATTTCACTGGATGTATAAGATTGTTTGAATATATAAATGAGTTTAATTTTAAATTGTCAATAGTGACTGAGAGTCACATCGTGATATGATTCGTTATAAAAAAAACGCGGTAGGTTAGGTTTACGATTTGCTCTGTACATTGTATCATCAATATTTTGGTATTTCTTGCCTTTTTTTACATAATTTCAAACTTTTTTCTTTGTTGTCAAATCAACATCGACTATCTGCGAAAATACATGTACCAAAGTTTATTTAGCTTCTACAATTTTTGTAAAGCACTCAGCTTCTTAAACGAACGGATAGACGGACGTAGTTTCGCGCTACTTATATTTCCAATAGCTTAGCAATAGTGTTACAAGCAAAGTAACAACTAGGATCGCTTATTCTTTGCGAGAGTATAATAAGGAAATTAATTAAATAAACATAGAAAGAAACCTAAATACATCAGATTGAAAAATTCATACATTAGACTTACCTTGAGAATAAAGGGTAGTTGTTAGCGAATCTCGTCCCAGAGCCTGAGCCCAGGCTTATGTTGGGTGTTTATCTGCAAAAGAGATATATAGAAGGGATAGAGATTAGTACTTTCCTTTAATATGAAATCTATTAGAAAAGTTTAAAGAATAATGGACTTCAATCTACATAGTGTAGAGCAAAGCGTAACATGTTTCTTATATATACATAAGTCATTAGGAAATTTTAGTAAAACTCGACATATTTTCTACAGAAACACTTTATTTCGATGAACTATAATGTGTCTATTTGCTTTTTATTAGTATGTATGCAAGCGGCATGCAATGTAACATATGTGTCCGACTCATCTTCAGTTGGAATATATGAAAAATAATATTTAATTTTAAGATTTGCCTAATTTTTATTTCAACAAGAAGTTAACATTTTCATGTTTGTATAAATATTTATGTAAACAACTTGAAAGTAATGACAAATGCTTCAAATTTCTTGTACAAATAAATGTTCATAGCAAATTATAAGATTACGCCCCCATGTACAATTGACCTAAGAATCAAATATATTTTTGCTTACTTAAATGAATCTTTAGACAAATGAAACAAGGGCAATGAGACAATGTACTATCAACACTTATTTTATGCGTTTCTTCGTGTGAAACTCAAAATTTATTGAAGCATCACAGAAAGATTTTGAACGATTCTTTACCAATAAAGAAAGTATTTTAGCAGAAAGTTCAAGGAGAAAGGCGATAAAATTCAGATAACAAATTTGTCGTATAAATATTCCGTAGTATAGATAGAAAAATAGGCAAGTAACTACCAGGCCAAAATAATTGAAGGACCCCTGAATAAAATACTAGACTAGCAGATAATATATAAATAAGTCACGATGCGTTTCTTGATTTCGCCGCAACAACTTACTCCAGACAAGCCAGAGAATGTCCCCTTTAATCATTTTCGCAAAGGTTTGTTTCATGGTTTTACTATGAGCAGCAATCATAAGAACTTGCCTTCAATGTGACGAACAGTGAAACAGGGAATCAAAGAATAAATTATAAAACTATTTGGATAATTTAGGAGGGAGGGAGAGAGAGAGAGAGAGAGAGATAGATAGATAGATAGATAGATAGATAGATAGATAGAGAGAGAGAGAGAGAGAGAGTAAGGAAGAGAGTGAGAGAGAGAGAGAGAGAGAGAGAAGGGAAGAGAGAGAGAGAAAGAGAGTGCAAGACAAAGCAAAAAGTGCCCTGAAATTGGAATTCAAGTGAAATTCAACTGTAGGTGTACTCTTCTTACGTTGAAACCAGTTTTCTCTGCTTTTCCTATGGAATTTCATAGTTTCATCGTAAACGAAATCTATATAGCCGGTTTAACCCCTAGAATTCATTTATCTGGCTTATAATAGTAATAATAAAACGTCATAAAGATAAAATTTCTTGCCGCGTATCCAAGAGACGCCACAGTCAGACCATTGCATGAAAATATGATATTTAATATCGATATTTCCGCCTTTCTTTCTGTCAATGTTAAAAAAATCTTCGTTTTAAAAGTTGTACTTACCGTACTTCATAAATGCTGAATTATTTCATCTAATAATCATAATTAATTGAATTGTTTTTTAGCGAAGCGTGCGATCAAATACAAATATAATTTAAGCAATGAAAATTTTTATTGATGTTATATTAATTTTTTTTTTTTTTCATGCTCATTCTCTCTAAGGCAAACAGAACACAAAATGACGGCAAGAGTATAGTTGTTTCATTCATTTATATACATAACATTAAACAAAAAATTTTTTGCAAGCAGTTTTGGCAATTTTATGATTATTTTCTATTAAAATTTTTTATCCCACATTTGTGGATTAGATTTCAAGCAATTTTCGCATACTTGGCGAGCACTTACGTTATAAAGTCAATTTAAAGATGTAATGCGAAAACAAACAATTTTTATTTATTTTCTTTTTTTTTTGCAATTTCCGTAAAGGAAAGCAAACGTTTTGTGGCTTACAAAAGGATATGTAATGGTTATCGTAGTAACTTTATAACAAAAAGAAGAGCACGTGTCAGAATTGATTGAATTTTTTTTTGTTCTTGAAATTTTTTGTCAAAAGTTTTGATCAAATTTCTGGTCAAATAAATGAAGTCAAGATTGTCGACAGGCAAGCAGCTAAAATAGATATCAAATTTTATTTTTTTATGTAAAAAAAAAAAAATCCAAATGTTTCAAACTCATCAAAATTAATATTTATGTTATGTATCTTACTACTACTCTCAAGTTATTTTGAAAAGCATTCGTTGGCATATAATCTCTGTTTATCTTAAATGGTTGCCTCAATGCTCTCTGACGATTGTTTCGTTACAGTTGCACACAGATTACAACACTATGTCCAGCTGATTGCTCGAATTTGAGGACTGTATTTATTTAATATATAAAATTTGATTTATCTTTAAAAAATTATGCTAATCGCTGGACACCTTTAACAGTTTATTTAGTGATGCCGAGAAATCATCACGCGATGGTTAACTCAACGTAGCTGTTAAGTCGTGGTTTTTTGTTTGTCAGATTACTCTGGTTTGCACATTTGTCCTCATGATCCGACAGCGGTTTTTTGTTTTTTTTTTTTGGAAATAAGCGGAAAGAGTAAATTTTGCAATATTTGAAGTTTTTCTTCCTTTTTTTTTTTTTTGGCTTTATTTCTTTTTTTCGGCATATAAGTCGAGCCCACTCAAAACGTAAATCTAAGTTTTGACTTAAAGCCTAACAAGATCTCTTATATTGTAGCGTAACAATGTTTTCACATTGATCAATCACATGACTATTGTATATACGGCAATAGTATAAAGCACTTTTTGTTTTAAGAACACGTTTCATTTGCATTGATGTGCCTGTTGTTCGTATAATGCAATAACATATAACATTATAACATAAGGAATACGTTCAATACGTTACGTGTATGTAGCATTAAAAATCCGGAATATGTTAAATAAAATCTCTTTTCTCTTAGTTTCTTTAGAAACTATTTACTATTTACCGTTTCGGAAAAAGCTTTATACAATTGATCTGTTTTATAATGCAACACAACCTCAACTAAACACAAACAAACAAAATTTAAACATATGAACATTTTAATCTTAAATAACAACATATTCAAGGATGGACACATAAATAATGAAAACACTAATATCCTGAATTGAGCTCCGCTTCTTATGCGAGAGCATTTGTGTTAAATAAATTCTTTAGGAAATCAAATTCTTCAACATTCATAGATACATATACGAACGAAAGAGTAAAATACATGCAAGCAAGACAATCAAATTATATATGCAAATGTAGGCAAAACAGCACATAATATATTAAAATTGAATTTGAAATTTCTCCTAGAGTAGAATATATTTTTATTGAATTATAGAAAAACTAGAGATAAAAGTTTCACTTTGACATTTTTGCTATAAATCCAAAGTTGATTTCATCAATCTTATGCAGATAAGAGCAAAAGAGGGACAATAACAAAGAATGAATTAGTGATTAATTTAAAAAACAATTAAATGCAAAAGCAATCGCCTTTATGTCTACGCTATTTGTTTAACAGAGACAGGAGATTAGTCTTCAATTTTCTTTCATTTCGGCAGTCCGGCAGTCATTTATACTGTACGTGAGACAACATGTTTAGATGTCGATGATATTCAATTGATAATTTCAACTTATAACGGCTTGAAATTTTATTTGTGAAATTTTACCTCTGATAAGTTGTAAAATTCAATAAACTTCTTCTTCTCTTTCAAGATTCGGAAATTCTTCTATGGAGGGGTAAACAAAACAGCACAAGTGGCTTGGCGAAAAGACAAATTAAATTAAGGTTAAATCAAATCAGTCCGTCAGGCTAATCAGAAATCATTTTTGAATTGGGCAAACAACCTAACAAACCCGCAGTGTTTTCCTTTTTTTTTTTCATCCCATTACTAGTCCGCCTTTGTTGTTCTTCAAAACAATTGTTTGCAGTGAAATTAGATTTTTGCTGACACTTTGTTATCGCTTAAGTTCTTAATTAAATCTTTAGGTAAAATGTTTAAGTAAAGAAGAAAACATGAAAACATTAGGGGTAATTTTCTTTAGATAAACGACAACAATTGATACATGTCATCCATCTTTTGAATAAATCCACTACAAGCGGCAGGACAGCATATATGATCCTTTATGATAGCTGTGAACTTTGACAATATTTAAATATATCAATGGTTTCGTTGATTGATGTAAATTTTTCAAGTTAATACTTTAATCATTTGCTGGTTGATCTCTGACATTCAAAACATATTGAAACCGAATGTAAAGTCCTTTCACATATGTATTTGCATTCAATTGCGCGCACAACGGAGCTAAATGAAGAAATATGAAATAATTTACGATAAGATTTTTGTAAAAACATATTTACATAAAATGGTCTCCCTATCACATCTAATAGTGCTCATTATATGTGTGCGTTTATTTACCTGATAAACATGATACTGAACATTTGTAACTATCCTATCAAGTTAACTGGAAAACAAAAAGCTTTATATCATTTTCAGGAAATCTTTGATATCATCACTTAGCAGCTATCATGTGCTGTCGGCTTAAGTTACGAACCTATTTTCAAGTTCCTTTTATATTAGTTTTTGCACCTGTGAGATTTCCAGCAATGGACGACAAACAGTGGCATTAATCATTGGATGGATTTGATAAAATTGGCTAAGAATCTCTAAAAATGGCGGAATCTGTCATTTGCCAGGGCTGCGCAAGGTCAGAAAGGGACAATATGTATACAAGCATCCCTCGATGGTTAATATAAAAATTTCAAAGTATTTTGCTTTCTGTAGGCGTGTCATTAGTGTGAAATCTTTGGCGAGGTGTTAGTTTCAAAGAAATATAACGGATGTCCATAGCATAACGAACAAAACGGAACTGTAGTCATCAACTACCAAGTTTTAGTTACCTATTCCGATTTTTGGACGAGTAGGCGGCGGACGTACACTCGACAGGCAAACTTTTAACAGACGAAGAATTCGATTGTCGAAAACGAGAAAAGTTTATGCGGGTCAAC